GCCTCTGCCTCGGGACAGTTACTAGTATCCTATGTCAGGCCACACGTTCCCGTTTCGACTACCACACTCGCCAGATGGGTGCGATGGATCCTGTCACTGGCGGGTGTGGATGCTAATTTCGGTGCACACTCAGTGCGCGGGGTGGTGGCCTCCTCGGCTTTCTCGGCAGGCGCGTCTCTGGCGGATATCCTTCGGTCAGCTGACTGGTCGAGGGAATCTACCTTTCGGACATTCTACTTTCGCCCGAGTTCAGGTGCGGCTATGTCTCTTCTACATCAGCGTTAAAAATGCAAAATAGGAAGCCTCCTGTCATGTGGTAAAATTGAAGATTATGCTAACGTTAGTGTACTTATAATCTTAATTTTAGTAATGACAGGAGGCGAGTATTTTCCCACCCTTTCCCTCCCTTGGGAAGAGTGGATGCACGTAAGTATATTTCTATATCTCCGTTGTCTTACCTGGTATCTATACCTTCGTCTCCTCTTGGTTTGGGATCTGTTATGTTCAGGTTATTATGCATTAACCTTTTAACCAGGGGGTCTCCTATTGCTTTATTGTGTGGGATCGATACTGCATCCAGTTGAAAGATCGGTGCCTAATCCGTTTCACGTTCTCGTTTCAGTTTAAATCCGCGATGTTCACAGATCCATCTCAGAGTGGACACAGTTGAATCATCCTTCAGCTCCTGGAGCTTCGTTAATGGGACACATCAACCGCTGCACGTTGCAGGACACTCTGAATCAGTTTGCATCCCGTGAAAGTCCGTTTTGTCGATGGGAATCACACGTTGGTGCACGTTATACATGTTTGGACGTTATGGTTTCTTGAGTTTTGCCTGATGTCGCTTCTGAAAGAGGGGGAGGAGCCTCATCACTGTGAATACTATACAGCATATTGCATTTTGATTGGTTATCGTTTTCACTTTTTCTTTACTGCTATGTGGAGTTAGTAAAGAGAGTTATATGCAAAATACTCGCCTCCTGTCATTACTAAAATTAAGATTATAAGTACACTAACGCTAGCATAATCTTCAATTTCATATCACTTTATTTCAATCCACACTCTTCCGCTACCCACTAGACCCCAGAAACGCCATCCTCCTGCACCCAGATATGAGAAGGAGGATGTGTACAAATATGCATTTATTCATTTATTTATGTGGGTCTATGGCAGTGTATGTGTACCTGTCTGTGTAGAAGTGAGCTTCTGTGCATGTAATTGTGTATCTGTGTCTGTGCATCTGAGTGTGTGGCAGTTTATATTTGTTTATATTTGTGTAGCATAGTAAATTTGTGTGTTGGATGAAAAGGCATTACACCTGTATGTCTAGGAATGTGTGTGTCTAGCAGTGCATATCTGTTTGGGGAATTTATTGTGAAAATGGCTTTTGTCAAACACTAGGTGTTTGAGTGTATGTCTGCAGACACATGTATGTGTGTGTTTGTATGGGAATGCATATGTGTATTTGGAAATATATGTATCTGTGAGAGTGTGAGTGTCTGGCAGTGTGTATCTGTGTGTGTGTGGCACTGAGTGTGTTTATATCTGGGAGAGTGTATCTGTGTGTGCATATGACTAGAAATGTATACATGTCTGTGAGTATGTATCGGTGAATATGTCTGGGGGACTCACATAATGGTTTTCTAGGGCTCTCAAAATTTCTAAAGGCAGGCTTGAGGATAGTCATAATTTAAATGTATCTCTGCAGTATTCTATTTCCATAGCCAACCCTTGTCGAAAGTGCATTCTGGTCATAACTAACAGCCTTCAGCCCTGAAAAAGGATAGCAGAAATGTGCTTGTTTAAGCTTATTTTAAGTGCCATCTGTTTATATGGGATTGAAAGCAAACACTATAAATGCACGAAGGAGGAAGTTATTGTTGCCAATTTTGGTTACACAATTACTTTTAGTGTTGTGTGATATAGTGAAAACACTGACATGAAATCAGAACCACAAAGTGACAGGCACTATGGTCTATAATGTTACAATATCTGGAAGATTAACAAGGTACAATACTACTCCAATTTCACCATTTCTCTCTACTTTTCCATTTTTTTGTATCTCAGAATCTAATTTTAATACCTTCCTAAACCAGACTTCATCATCTCCTCAAAAATTAAGTGGCATTGAGCCCCATCTGATTCAATTCCGTTCTGGTCATCAATGATAAACATAGAAGAGAATAAATGTTTTTTCTGTCTCTGTGCCTCACATTCTATATTTCCAAAGTAAGGATACTTCCTCCAATGCATACAGTACCACTTTATTGGAAACATTAGAAATAGTGAGATTTACACTCTTATGTATCTCTTATGTTTGTAGAAACACCCAATATAAATTGCTGTACCTATTGGAGAGAGCCCTGGACCCATTTTTAATTTACATTTTATTACAATCTTCAAGAAACCGTGTCATGTGCTCCCTCAGTTTAAGTGGTTGCCCGTAGTATTTATACCATCTCTCTGCAGGAACCCCCATGAACAAAAACAAACAAACCTCAAAAACAATCAAACAAAAAAAGCTGACGTTAACTTGAGGCAGGATGGTGCATTAGACTGCCACCTGACATGTTGAGTTACATCGACTGTTTAGTTTGGAAAGAGTCAAGTCCTGAGAAAGCTACAAAATGTTTTAGCAATTCCCAAGCCCTGTTCATCTCATGATACTACTTTATCTAGAACTCTATTCCTATTTGCATTGACTAATTTTGAACAGAAGAGTACCATGTATCACGTCCTTAAAGCTGTCTTGAACTCTAACTAAGAACTTCCTAAAGGTTCTGGCTTCACCCCTAGAGATCTGTCCTGCACGTTTCCTACTGGAAAAAAATCAGTTCATCCAGTTAAATAGTTATGGGAAAGTCTTTGTAATATCATAACTCATGTGAGTATTTTTTCAACCTTTTTATTTATTTTTTAACTTGATTAAACGGTTCAAATACCCCCTAGACACACTTTTCCCTAAAACACTTTTCTTCAATCAGCTATGACTGTGATAGTAATGTGTGTCAAGATCCTGTTTATCTCCTAATCTGGACATTGTTTTGTAATTCTGGATAACATTTGGATAACCTTTTTTGTTCCAACAGTTGGGAGATTCCCTCTCTTCCTCGCCAGCAACGACAAAGTTAATACTTCCTGGAAATATTAGCGGGACTTAATTTTCTTCCTTTAGCCTTTCCAGCTTGCTTTTGTTATATTTATTTATAAAGCAACAATCGGGACTTTCTCCTTACGGTAGCTTTCTAAAAAGTCCCAATTCTTAAGGAGCACTGGCAATGATAAACTATGTTTACCGTATTACTGTAAGCTACAGTTCTGGCAATGAAACTATACTTTTTGAGACTTCTTTTCTATTATTGGATATTTGCATTGTCTAAATAATATTCCGCATTTCCGCTTGTTTGAATCTTCATTGCCTATGTTCATATCTGTTGGCTTAGAATCCACTCACCATCCAAAAAATAGGGTGCCATGACATATAGGGGTGAATAAGAGTATGGATGAATAATGACTCATGGGGTGGATTTCCTATTCCCTGGGTAGCATCAGTCCTGTGTGCTATTGTATTGTCTCTGCAGTCTTTTTGTGTCTTGCATTCTAATATAAACACAACTGCCACCTCCTATCAGTAGACATTGATTTATCAAAGCTTGCTCTGATATCAAAGATTCCTCCCATCACTTCATTCCATGGTAACCATACGTAGCATATTAGAGGGGTAGTCAGCCTTTGGCACAGCAGATGTTCGGGACTACATATTTCATAATTCTTTTAAAGCCAATATGCTGGCAAAGCATCAAGGGAGATGTAGTACAAAACATCTGCAGTGTGAAGGAGGCTTACCCCTGTCCTATTACAACCACACACCATCTCAGTGTAGCTCTAAAATAATCATCTCCTCATTACCCATAGTAAGCTACTGTGACTACTCATTGCTTTACCTTATTATAATAATTATCTTCTTAAATCTATTCCTAATTAAACCAATATGATATTCTACTTTTCCTCTAGAGAACAACAGTCTTATTCCAGTCATTCCCAGTCTTCGAGACATTTAATTTTTGCAAAGTTCTTTTGGGAAACTGAGAAAACTTGGACAATTGGTGTGGTGCCTAGAGTACAATGATGGGAACCACTGATCCATATGCCACCAAGACCCCCATCAGGTCTTCCCACACAGAAATCCATTACCTTTGTACCGTTTTCTAATTGACAGCTTTACAAATCTTATCCAATTCATATAGTTCATTGATTTTCCCTACACAGTGCATAACTGGCATCGTGTTACTCCTGTTATGTTCATGGCTTTATGAAGACTAAACGACTTCCCCTTCTGCCCTGTGATTTTTCAATGCATTATGAAATGGCATTTCCCTTTGACCTTCAAGATATATAATGTTTTTCTCTAACACTTTGGATCTATAGTTGAAGCACTGGTTGGTTTAGCTTATTATATGTCAGACTGTATTTCCTCTCCTAGGTATATCCCTATGATTTGCAATCACATTACAAGTATCTACATATATTGTATCTTCAATTAGAATGTGTGCATACCTAATGTACTTGCCAGAAGAATTCTTGAAATCCGTATATAAAAACAAAGAGAGACCAATATATATCCAATCCCAGATTTTCCAATGCAGCTCAATGAGAAGTCTTTGCAAGGCAGCAAGGCAAGTGCTCTGGGCAATTGCCTGCCACTTGAGTTTAATTCCACTGCGCTAAACTACCAGGATATAACAGGACCTGTTGCCTGCTTGAAAGCCGGGAGTATGAATCAAGGTTGATTTATAAAAGTGCCAATTGCCAATGTGAAATCTGCACTCTTTGTAAAATGAAAAAAAGAGGACACATTCTTCATACCTAAAGCATTTCATCAAGCTTAAAGGGACACTATTGTCACCTGAACAACTTTAGCTTAATGAAGCAGTTTTGGTGTATAGAACATGCCCATGCAGCCTCACTGCTCAATCCTCTGCCATTTAGGAGTTAAATTCCTTTGTTTATGAACCCTAGTCACACCTCCCTGCGTGTGACTTGCACAGCCTTCCATAAACACTTCCTGTAAAGAGAGCCCTATTTAGGCTTTCTTTATTGCAAGTTCTGTTTAATTAAGATTTTCTTATCCCCTGCTATGTTAATAGCTTGCTAGACCCTGCAAAAGCCTCCTGTATGTGATTAAAGTTCAATTTAGAGATTGAGATACAATTATTTAAGGTAAATTACATCTGTTTGAAAGTGAAACCAGTTTTTTTTTCCTGCAGGCTTTGTCAATCATAGCCAGGGGAGGTGTGGCTAGGGCTGCATAAACAGAAACAAGTGATTGAACTCCTAAATGACAGTGAATTGAGCAGTGAAATTGCAGGGGAATGATCTATACACTAAAACTGCTTTATTTAGCTAGAGTAATTTAGGTGACTATAGTGTTCCTTTAAGTGCCTAGTTAAGGGTCCGAATTGTCCCTTTAAAGAGACTCATGCACACAGAACACAAAATAAGTGGTCTGGCTAGTGGCTACAGTGCCCCGTCATTTTAGTTTTCAATACATTTCCATATAGTTGATCTCCTGACAGCCGACTCCTGACAGCCACCATAAGGTGTTTCTGCAGCAATGATCACGTTTTAACTCTGTTGTGTGACGTTTGACCACAAGGTCGTAAAATTATGATCATAGGGAAGCACTGGATTCAGTGCCTCTGTATGAAAAGCATTCAATTAGATGAACAAGGCACTCACTGTGCATGGTCCTCTCTTCCCCAATGCTTCGCTAAAGCATTAAAATGGAAAAGAATCCAAGGAAACAAACAGGGCCGGATTAACATAGGGGCTGATGGAGCTGCAGCTCCAGGCCCAGGACCATGGAATAGGCCCATTGATTTAAAAAAAATTTTTTTTGTAAATTTTTTTTTTCCACACACTATTCTTAGGGATTCCACCTGGCTTTTATTTTATTGGCACAGACAGTATTTGAGGCTGCCTGGCTGGTGCCAATATTGCAGTGATACTGGCAATACAAATGCTGGTATTTTTCTCAGTATAAACAAGAGATTACTCTGCAATACCAGCACTGGCCAGTAGGGGTCGCTGTGTGTGTGGAGACAGGCAGGGATAGGAAGTTCCAGCATTTCCCTCCCTGCCTATCTATACTCACTGATCTGCAGGGGTGCAGCTACAGAGAGTCCAGACAGCAACTCCCACCCTGCAGAGACAGCCTACAGCTCAGGGAAGTAAGGGATGGGGGAAAAGGCTGCAAGGAGACATACACTGAGACACTAAGGGACATTGGGAGACATTATGGCAGACACTGAGACACTAAGGGACACTGGGAGACATTATGACACAGACACATGGGGACACAGTGGCCCCATGTCTCCCAGCCAGTGTCCCTGGTGTCTCAGTGCCCCCTAGTCTCCCAGTGACCCCTAGTCTCCCAGTGCCCCCAGTCTGCCAGTGTCTCACTGTCCCCTTGTCTCCTAGTGCCTCCATGTCTATCAGTGCCTCAAGTGTCACAATGTCCCCAAGCTAGTGTCCCTAGTGTCTGTGGCCCTGGTGTCTGTGTCCCCATGTCTCAATGTCCCCATGTCCCCCAGCCAGTGTCTCTAGTATCTTTGTCCCTGGTGTCTGTGTCCCCATGTCTTCAAGTGTCCCCTATTTTCCCATTGTGTCCATGTGTCCCAGCCAGAGTCCCCTAGTCTCCCAGTGTCACTGGTGTCTTCGTGTCCCTAGGTCTCCCCGTGTCCCCAGGTCTCCCCGTGTCCTACTGACATGGGTGACATGGGAACCCTGGGATACATGGGGACACAGGGAGACATAGGATCACTGGGAGACCTGGGGAAACGACATTAGGGGACGCTGGGAGACATGGGGCACTGAGACACTGATACATAGGATCACTGGGAGACCTGGGGACTCGACACTAGGGGACACTGGGAGACACTGATACATAAGAATACTGAGACCTGGAGTAATCGACACATGGGGGCACTGAGTCATGAGGGCACTGGGAGACATGGGGGCACTGGGAGGAATCCATCTATACAGCAGATTTAAACTAAGTAGTTTCTTGGTGATTTTACAGCATTTTCTCTTATGTCACTCCTTGTGATTTACATCATGTGATGTCACCCACACATATTTAATTATGCAAATTAGTAAGGCCGGTATGTTTTTCCAAGAAAGGTGGCAACCCTAACTACTTTTCATATACTCTTACTTAAGTATGGAAACTTAAGAGGGATGTATTGGAACAAAACGTGTGTGGACTGGCTGACCATGAATATAGTTAAAGGGACACTATAGTCACCAGAACAACTACAGCTTATTGAATTTGTTCTGGTGAGTAGAATCATTACCTTCAGGCATTTTGCTGTAAGCACACTCTTTTCAGAGAAAATGCTGTGTTTACATTACATCCTAGTGATAACTTCACTCGCCACTCCTTAGAGGACTTATAGAGATCCTTCCTGGGTCATGGCTGCCTAAAATGCATCCAAACATTCAGTGTCTCCTCCCTCTGCATGCAGACACTTAACTTTCCTCATAGAGATTCATTAAATTAATCTATATAAGGAGATGCTGATTGGCCAGGGCTGTGTTTGAATCATGCTGGCTCTGACCCTGATCTGCCTCTTTGTCAGTCTCAGCCAATCCTATGGGGAAGCACTGTGATTGGATCAGGCCACCACTTCTAATGATGTCAGCAGACTGCTTGTTTTTATGAGTCTAACAGCATGCAGAGTTACAGCTTCAGGCTTGAATATAGTAGGATTTTGCTATATTTATGGAGGCATGAGGGGCCCATGGGGGGCTAGATGGTGGTGTTAAAGGACCACTATAGTGCCAGGAAAACATACTCGTTTTTCTGGCACTACAGTACCCTGAGGGTGTCCCCACCCTCAGGGACCCCCTCCCGCCCGGGTCTGGAAGGGGGAAAGCTTACCTTTTTCCAGTGCTGGGCGGGGAGCTCTCCTCTCCGCCTCCGATCCGCCCCTTCGGCTGAATGCGCACGCGCGGCAAGAGTTGTGCGCGCATTCAGCCGGTCGCATAGGAAAGCATTATCAATGCTTTCCTATGGATGCTGGTGTGCTCTCACTGTGAAAATCACAGTGAGAAGCACGCAAGCGCCTCTAGCGGCTGTCAATGAGACAGCCGCTAGAGGCTTTGGGGGAAGGCTTAACCCATTCATAAACATAGCAGTTTCTCTGAAACTGCTATGTTTATAAAAGAATAGGTTAAGCCTAGCTGGACCTGGCACCCAGACCACTTCATTAAGCTGAAGTGGTCTGGGTGCCTAGAGTGGTCCTTTAACACTATAGGGTCATGAATTCATGTTTGTGTTCCTGACCCTATAGTGATTCTTTAAGGTAATGCTGACTTTGGTCTCTCTAACACTGTGGCATGTTCCCTTTCTTCTACACTCACTACATACAGCTTTTCTCTGTCCCAGACCAAATACCAGGAGCTTCTGCCTGCTAGTAAGAAGGTAAGGAGACAAGTGGACCAGCGAGTGCTAGGGGACAGTCCTTAGAAAGCGTTGAGCGAGCGCATCATTAGATGCATTTATGCCATGCTCAGGGTGCTGTCTGCATAGTATGCCCTTAGTTGGCCAGCTGCATGATTGGCAGGCAGCCTGACATGCATTCATACCAAGCTGGCCTTCTAATTCTTTGAGCAGACATGTCCTCTTTTTGGGCATGTTCGCCCCTTTTGGCAGGTTACGTGATTTGTGTCAGTGGCACACCTTTTTACCATGCCCATTGACTTCCTGCTTGACTGGACACTGCTGTTAGGGGTTATGGATTTACTTGAAAGATGAAAACATAAATTAGAGAGAGATTAGCCTAGGGTATGTGTTTTCTTATAGCTGCTGTTTTCTTTCTCTCCAGCACCATCTCCATCAGATACATGATGCTTGGGAGTGTTTTACTGTTTTTGGTCGATATGATTCTGTAATTAGGCCCGTTATAATTGTCAGCACCAGGCCCACTGGGCTCTTAATCTGGCCCTGGAAACAAACTGTGTAACATGTCACAGGAAGCAGAGCAGGTGGCAGCACAGAGTGAGTTTTGGCACTGGAAAAAAGGTAAGTAAAATCCTTTTTTATTTCAGTTTGGTGGGGGGGGAGGGGGAGCATGAATCTGAATACTGAGGAGAACACTATAACATTAGGAATACGTTTGCATTACCTAACACTATAATGTTCCTTTAAATGTAAAATTTACATTTAATTACTGGCAATTCTCAGTATGCACTGAGTAGCCACAACATTGATAGGTGAAATAAATAACATTGATTATATTGTTACATTGGCACTTGTTAGGCAGCAAGTGAACAGTCAGTACTTGAATTTCATGTTTTGGAAGCAGGAACAATGGGCAAGCAAAAGGATCTTAATAAGACAAAATACAAAAATACAAAAAATCAAGTAAAAGATGGCGCTATAAAGTTAGTACTAGTGAAAAATCTTATAAAATATCATAAAACGGCTAGCAAGCACTAGTAAAAGTGAAAATCGCTCTAAAACCACTTGAATAATGTATAAAAAAAAGAAAAAAGTACGCTGTGCCTTTTTGTATTTTATCTTGTAAAGCTCTGTTCAAGTAAAGTATGAAATATGGTTTTGAAGACTCAGACACTCCACATTATGACAATGCAAAGTTCACTAACAATGATGATATAGAAGTTACTTTTAAAGATTTAGAGAAACCTTTGGCTAAAGAAATCAAATATTAATGGGAGATAGCCACATTGGAGAGATATATTAAAGAGAAAATCACTCCTAGGGGATTAAGATTCTCTAAAAATCTAAAATATGTGGAGGTGTGGAATAATGCTCTTGAAAGATTTTCTATGGAAATGATGGGCATTGTCATAATGTGCAAAAGTGATGCTCTAAAAGATCTGGATAAAGATATTAAAAATATTCAGAAAACCTTAGAGCCCACTCTAATTATGAGGAATTAACCATACAGACGAAGAATAACCTCAATAGATTAGAGGAACAAGTTAGACAAGTTAAATATAAGACATTTAAAAGAGATATGGACGACTATAGGTTCAATAAAGTAAGGAATTACTGACAATCTGCAAGAGACAATCGATACCATAAAAATAATAATACTAACCAATAGTTTTCCAATGCAAGGAGAATTAGGATAGATAGTTCTAATGAGTATGGTGGGTCCAAATGGAAAACACCAGAAAGTAGAT